TTCAAAAGTCTCATTGGGATCGTCAATGTTATTTGAATTCAAAAGTCTCATTGGGATCGTCAATGTTATTTCAATGCAAATGTCTCATTGGGATCGTCAATGTTATTTCAATGCAAATGTCTCATTGGGATCGTCAATGTTATTTGAATTCAAAAGTCTCATTGGGATCGTCAATGTTATTTCAATGCAAATGTCTCATTGGGATCGTCAATGTTATTTCAATGCGTAAGTTTCTGAATTGTAAGCGTCAATGTTATTTGAATTCAAAAGTCTCATTGGGATCGTCAATGTTATTTCAATGCAAATGTCTCATTGGGATCGTCAATGTTATTTCAATCCAAATGTCTCATTGGGATCGTCAATGTTATTCCAATATAAATGTCTCATTGGGATCGTCAATGTTATTTCAATATAAATGTCTCATTGGTATCGTCAATGTTATTCCAATATAAATGTCTCATTGGGATCGTCAATGTTATTTCAATGCAAATATCTCATTGGGATCGTCAATGTTATTTCAATGCAAATGTCTCATTGGGGATTGTCAATGTTATTTCAATATAAATGTCACATTGGGATCGTCAATGTTATTTCAATGCAAATGTCTCATTGGGATCGTCAATGTTATTTCAATGCAAATGTCTCATTGACATCGTCAATGTTATTCCAATATAAATGTCTCATTAGGATCGTCAATGTTATTCCAATATAAATGTCTTATTGGAATCATCAATGTTGTTCAATGCTAAAGTTTCTGAATTGTGATCGTCAATGTTATTTCAATGCAAATGTCTCATTGACATCGTCAATGTTATTCCAATATAAATGTCTCATTGGGATCGTCAATGTTATTCCAATATAAATGTCTTATTGGAATCATCAATGTTGTTCAATGCTAAAGTTTCTGAATTGTGATCGTCAATGTTATTTCAATGCAAAAGTCTCATTGGGATCGTCAATGTTATTTCAATGTAAATGTCTCATTGGGATCGTCAATGTTGTGCAATGCTAAAGTTTCTGGCTTGGGATCGTCAATGTTATTGGAATGCAAAAGTCTCATCGGGATCGTCAATTTTATTTCAATGCAAATGTCTCATTGACATCGTCAATGTTATTCCAATATAAATGTCTCATTGGGATCGTCAATGTGATTCCAATATAAATGTCTTATTGGAATCGTCAATGTTGTTCAATGCTAAAGTTTCTGAATTGGGATCGTCAATGTTATTGGAATGCAAAAGTCTCATCGGGATCGTCAATTTTATTTCAATGCAAATGTCTCATTGACATCGTCAATGTTATTCCAATGCGTAAGTTTCTGAATTGTAATCGTCAATGTTATTTGAATTCAAAAGTCTCATTGGGATCTTCAATGTTTTTTCAATGCAAATGTCTCATTGGGATTGTCAATATTATTTCAATGCAAATGTCTCATTGGGATCGTCAATGTTATTTCAATGCAAATGTCTCATTGAGATCGTCAATGTTATTTCAATATAAATGTCATATTGCGATCGTCAATGTTATTTCAATGCGTAAGTTTCTGGATTGTAATCGTCAATGTTATTTGAATTCAAAAGTCTCATTGGGATCGTCAATGTTATTTCAATGCAAATGTCTCATTGGGATCGTCAATGTTATTTCAATGCAAATGTCTCATTGGGATCGTCAATGTTATTTCAATGCAAATGTCTCATTGGGATCGTCAATGTTATTTCAATGCAAATGTCTCATTGGGATCGTCAATGTTATTTGAATTCAAAAGTCTCATTGGGATCGTCAATGTTATTTCAATGCAAATGTCTCATTGGGATCGTCAATGTTATTTCAATGCGTAAGTTTCTGAATTGTAAGCGTCAATGTTATTTGAATTCAAAAGTCTCATTGGGATCGTCAATGTAATTTCAATGCAAATGTCTCATTGGGATCGTCAATGTTATTTCAATCCAAATGTCTCATTGGGATCGTCAATGTTATTCCAATATAAATGTCTCATTGGGATCGTCAATGTTATTTCAATATAAATGTCTCATTGGTATCGTCAATGTTATTCCAATATAAATGTCTCATTGGGATCGTCAATGTTATTTCAATATAAATGTCACATTGGGATCGTCAATGTTATTCCAATATAAATGTCTCATTAGGATCGTCAATGTTATTCCAATATAAATGTCTCATTGGGATCGTCAATGTTATTCCAATATAAATGTCTTATTGGAATCGTCAATGTTGTTCAATGCTAAAGTTTCTGAATTGTGATCGTCAATTTTATTTCAATGCAAATGTCTCATTGACATCGTCAATGTTATTCCAATATAAATGTCTTATTGTGATCGTCAATGTTATTTCAATGCAAAAGTTTCATTGGGATCGTAAATGTTATTCCAATATAAATGTCTCATTGGGATCGTCAATGTTATTCCAATATAAATGTCTTATTGGAATCATCAATGTTGTTCAATGCTAAAGTTTCTGAATTGTGATCGTCAATGTTATTTCAATGCAAAAGTCTCATTGGGATCGTCAATGTTATTTCAATGTAAATGTCTCATTGGGATCGTCAATGTTGTGCAATGCTAAAGTTTCTGGCTTGGGATCGTCAATGTTATTGGAATGCAAAAGTCTCATCGGGATCGTCAATTTTATTTCAATGCAAATGTCTCATTGACATCGTCAATGTTATTCCAATATAAATGTCTCATTGTGATCGTCAATGTTATTCCAATATAAATGTCTCATTGGGATCGTCAATGTTATTCCAATATAAATGTCTTATTGGAATCGTCAATGTTGTTCAATGCTAAAGTTTCTGAATTGTGATCGTCAATGTTATTTCAATGCATAAGTCTCATTGGGATCGTCAATGTTATTCCAATGTAAATGTCTCATTGGGATCGTCAATGTGATTCCAATATAAATGTCTTATTGGAATCGTCAATGTTGTTCAATGCTAAAGTTTCTGAATTGGGATCGTCAATGTTATTGGAATGCAAAAGTCTCATCGGGATCGTCAATTTTATTTCAATGCAAATGTCTCATTGACATCGTCAATGTTATTCCAATATAAATGTCTCATTGTGATCGTCAATGTTATTTCAATGCAAATGTCTCATTGGGATCGTCAATGTTATTTCAACATAAATGTCTCATTGGAATCGTCAATGTTATTTCAGTCAAAGTGCCTCATTGGAATCGTCAATGTTATCCCAATCTAACTGCTGTATTGGGATCGTCAATGTTATCCCAATGCAAATGTCTCTTTGGCATCTTCAATGTTATTTCAATGAAAATGTCTCATTGGGATCGGCAATGTTATTCCAATCTCAAAGTCGCATTGGGATTTATAATGTTAATCTGGTCAAAAATATTGAGGCAAAGTAACTGTATTCAATAAATAGAGGTTCTATTTGAAGCGTACTTTAAAAAGAATTGCAATCTTTTTTATCGCACTCCTTCTATTTATTTCACATTCCTTTATTTTTACATTTTTCGCATTCAAGTCTATTAGATAAACTAACTGATAAGAGATAAAACCAAATAATATAATACCCTCATCCTCTCTGGGTCTGGTCAAGACGAAGTAAAGGAGAAAAATAGAGAAAGAGAGAAAAGGAAAGAGCATAAGAAAAAGAATGAAATTATCTGTTATGTCCTACACAAACATCTTCAATTTCATCCTCTATCTCATTTCTTTTCTTTCCCTCTTTTTCCTCTACCAAAGCAGCCTTCTCTGGCACTCCGTTATGCTATAGTTGGAGTTTACTCTATGCTACGTCCAAGTGGGCCAGAGTGTGCTGCTTACAGTCTACTGACTTCCGTAATATTTCCTAACGAGACATCCAAAGACGCCCCGCAAACTTGTCTATCAAACTTTTAGAACATTTAAAGCAGTTGCCATATTAGTGCATTTTTTCAGCATTTTTTGAAAGAGATTATCGCAGCACAGGCAACAGATACGATCGATTGTCCAACGAAAAATGAAATATACTATGGTTTGCCCTTCAAGAGAATTAAGGTTTCACACTTGACCCTGAAAATCTAAAAATGCATAATGTCAGGGAGTAATAAATAAGATTTTTCAGATTCTCATAGTTGGTTGCATTCTCAAAAAAAGTTGAGATCTTAACTAGCAATGATAAAAAAGTGCAGATTTTTGAAGGCCCGTTTTTAGGGTTAAATGATAGATTGCCATCTGAAAGTTGAGCTTTCGGTATCAGTAAAGTCTAATTATCACCAACAGAAAGGAAATTGCAATTTGATTGTTTTATATTTTCATTCTATTATTTTTACAGCTTCCCAGCAGAGATTAGGTTTAAGAGTCAAACAAAAGTGCTTCCAGCAACTATAAAGGCTAAAAAGGCTAGAAAGTGTATCGCAATTTGATTGTTTCATATTTTCACATTCTCTTGCATTTATTTCTTGCTTCACTTCATTTTCAAACATCCACCCCTTGTATTTCATTCTTTTCCTTTCTTTTCTTTTCACCCATTTTCATCCTCATCTGCCACATCTTTTTCCAACTTTTCTTCTTTTGCTTTATCAATCGGATTAAAGATTCTACATGAAAAATCTTTACTTCTTTATAGATTACACTTCATGGCTGAGTCTTGTGTTTCATTTAACATCATAAATAACATAATTTTTCACCTTTCAGTATGTAACGATAACTTTGAATTGCTATTGAAAGGTGAGCTAAAAACTTCACCTTTATTTGTTTAATAACACGCTTAGAGAGTTAGAAAAAAGGTAATTTGTCTTCATTACTAAACAGATAAAAATATTGCATCTGAAAGTAGTCTTTATTATCTTTACATGAAAGATTATAAGATTGACTCCAAGATTTTTCAGTCACAGTTTGTTTTCATTGCATCTGACATGAAATAAGACAAAATAAACCATTTTTGGAAGTAAAAACGCGAGAAACAATTAATGATTCAACTTTTGATAGTTTTACCAGCACGATAGATTACATATTATGAAATCAAAGTGAAAAGTCATCAAGTATAACACAATCAACTTTGCATGATTTAATTTAATATACAACTTTAAATTTGAACATAAACGAGAATGAGGGGTTAGAAAATAGGAATCAAATGCAAAAGATAAAATCAAGTAAATGATTGAATAAACGGAGTCACACTGGATGACATATTCCCTAATTCTTCCATAGCCCAGTCCCGAAGACTAGGATGTCCCAATGCTTGGTATAGCCATTGCCGCTTATTTTCCACTACTCCTCTCTCCAAACTGCCCAAGCTCTCGGGATATAATGATGCAAAAGCGGAAAAAATGGGTAAACAAATAGAGTCAATGAAAGCTACTTGAAGTCGGGGAAGTTCATCTTTTTTTTCTCTATTCATCATATCAATTGGCTGTAAATTGAGCTTTTCCTTTTCAATGTCGCCCTGCTGAAAAAACTCTGTTGCCACAAGTTCGGCGACGACTTTTTGAACTTCCCATGGTTTGGTAATCGCGGCAATATCGCAGGCAGTCATCAGCATACCCCGAAGTAACTTTTTATCCAATTCATTGGAATCCCAGTGGTAATCTCCTGATTCAATGAGACGAAAAAAGGCTTCTCTGTTCGTAAAATAGACAACAAGGTCGGTCGCTAAAATAGCCTCTTCCATTACACGAACAACACGCTTGTACTCAGCTGGAGACAGATTGGACAAAATTTGGTTACCCTCTGAGTTTAAAATCATTAAAGATTGATCGAAATGATGATGTTCCATGGTTGAAGTTGAATAAAGTGTAGCCAATGGTGAACTAGACTTGATTTGGAAAGAGTTATTGGTTCCTCTGTGGTCTAAATCGTGACACAAACAAGCCATAATAAGAGCCAAAGTATCAAGCTCTCCCAACGAGGTACACAAAGTAGTTGAGACAAGAATTGAGAACATCATTTGAGCTACATTGAAAGCGTGACGCCAATTGTGATAAGTTACAGGACGATAGTTTTTGCGAACAGAGAGGAGCCAACGACAAAGAGTGAGATAGTCAATGGAGAAACGGTTGATCAAATCAAGATCTAAAAACATTCGAATACAAGCTTTGACCATTTTATCATCTGTTTCCAATGAGAAATCATGAAAATCTAAGCAAGCCAGCCTAAGTGCTTGAGTTGACGGTATTGGTTCACGAGACAAAAGAGTAGCTTCCTCTCTTCGTGCCGTTGCATGGTATGAAAGACATTCAAAGGTAACCCGTTGTTTGGCCATTGCTTTCATTGCTTTTTCATACATCTGTGTATTGTGAATTCCCATACCACAAAATATAGCAAATGCCTGGAAATACGCATGAAAAGGGAGAAAAAAAGTAAAAAAATTAGCAAGAAATGTTTTTCGTAATTGTGAATGGGTGAACTTTTCAATTTAAAATTAATAGCAAAGTGAAATATCCAGTAATGAGATATTCATCGGTATGGAAACCGTAATCTATCGAATAATTTGCATAGAAAAAGGTTCAAAAGTGTTGCTAATATTACAATTTAAAAAATATAAGCTTTTATCTTACAGCCAAAATTTATAAACGTCCAAAACGAAAATTGAACAAACCCAGATTTACTCTTAAAGTCACATTGCAGTGAATAAGACTTAATTTGTGACAGATTTATTTCCATATTTATTTTGTGTGATTTGCTTCAGGCAGGATTTTTTAGCATAATAATAGAGTAAAAGAATCTTTCTTCAACAGAATTATTGATTCAAGTGCGAATTTGATTAATTATTTGAGCCTTAATAATCTTTTAATATTGTGTGGAAACAAAAGAATGAATTTATAATGAATTTCTTGCAATGATAAAAGTCTAGGAATGATAAAAAAGTCTCAAAAAATGAAAATACAATGTAATTTCAACAATGAAACCAAACTTCGACATAAAAAGAAAAAAATATTGGTCTAATGAAGTGAATTCATGAATTGATTATTAACATTCTTTCATTATATAATAGAAAACGAGTTGAATATTACAGAAATTTAAATTGAGATTTTGTCTATTTCTGTAAGGGTTTGGGGTTAATCAACCTCAAGGTTCCTTATTTTTTCAATCATGCAAATTAGCCATTATTTTAAATGATAAATATTTAAATATGAAGAATGAACTCGGTCAAAATTCGTTTGATAACAAATCGGTAACAAAATCTTTCAAGTCAACAATATCATGATCGGTTGTTTTATCATTTTCATACCAACATATCAATCGAAATTATAATTCGTTTAAGATTTTTAGCCATTTTTCATGGCGAAACTGACAGTGACCCTGAATAATTTAGTTTTCTTGGCTAATTCGAGAAAATCAAAATATTGCTAAGGTCGTTCAGAATCAATTTGACTGATTTTTGATAAAACATATAACGAAAATGAGTGTTTTCCTTAATAAATAAAGTGCATGTCTTTGTGTAGAGCTAATAGATAATGTAAGTTATTTACAAGATGAAGAATCTTGGAATTCATATTGAAATACAAAGAATGACAGAATTCATGCGAGCTAATAATGTTATTCATAGGTAAATGTTGAAAGCAATCTTATCTGACTAGTGAATATAACATTTTACTTATTCTCTTTATTCTCTGTTTTTGTGCTTAAATATTCAGTCACCTTATAAAGAATCCAAATAAACATACAAAAACGAAGAAAGATAACTTTAAACATTCTGCAAACAAATCCTATTACCTGTACAGTGATTTACAATAAGTAAAGTATACAGTCATGTTCAAAAGTTTAAAGCCAACTTTTAAATGCTTTTAATTCGCTAACCGTCAAAATTTGATATTAGATTTTTTTAGAGGTGAAAAATATAAAGATAGTCAAACGTTCAAAAGTCAAATAGTTCAAAATTTGAGAAATCAATATTGCGTTTTAGCCCTTCAAAAACCATAACATTGCATAAAAATATTCAAAAGTTTAAAGCATTCGGCAATTAAGTTAATTAAAACAGATTAATAATCAATTGAGCCACCTTTAGCTTGAATAACTTTGACCAATCTGTCTTTCATTGATGATATAAGACTTTCTCTCAGCTCAGGAGTAACCAATGACCATTCTTCCACTATCGCCGATTTCAAACTAGCAATCGAACTGAATTGTCGACCGTGACCATAGACCTTCCTTGTTAGCCAACCCCAAAGATTTTCAATAGGGTTCAGGTCGGGAGATAAAGCTGGCCATTTGATAGTTTTGACTTCATTGACCTCTAGCCAAGCTTTTGTGGACAATGATCGATGAATTGGAGCGTTGTCATGCATAAAAAAATAGTCTCCTTCAGTTATTAAAGGTGCAACTGGCAAAAGATAAGAACCGAGAAGATCTTGATAGTCTTCAGATGTCATTTTGGGTTTGCAAAAAGCGATTTCTGTCGTGCCTCCGGTTGCAAATCCAGCCCAAACCATGACTGATCCACCGCCAGAATGACGTTTTGAGAAAATCGCTTTCTCTTTTCGCAAATCATGCCAAAAGTAACGCAAACCATCGGGACCATCTAAGTTCCATTTCTTTTCGTCAGAAAAAATAACTGAGTCCCAGTAGCACCTTGGCTTCGATATCATTTCGAGTGCAAAATCGAGTCTGTTTTTCTTGTGTTGCATTGAAAGAATTGGCTTAGATTTATGTTTGGTATATCTCAAATTTTTGTTTGCTTTGACCCGACGATTTATGGTTGAGACTGAGGCATCAAGATTAAGGTCTTTTTTCACTTCGGAAATGCTCTTTTTTTCAGTTGAAACCAATTTGATTATCGAACGATCCTCTCGTTCAGTAGTTACTCTCGGTCTTCCGGTCCTGATTCCACTACCATGCTTTTCAGGGTCCTTCAAATAGCTCGTAATCACTTGCCTAGATCTTCCAATAGTCTCAGCAATCTTTAAATGAGTCCATTCTGGATGCATATTTCGCAAAAGATCAATTTGATCTTTCTCCGAACGACTCAATTGTTTGGCTTTTGGCATTTTTATAAGCTTGAAAAACTTGTTCAATTTACCGTAAAAAACATCGATTAGACCTTTAATAACATTTGTCAAAGCAAATTTGGGCTTACCTAACGTTTTGACCTGAAAAATATCGATGGCTTTAAACTTTTGACAAAAAATAACCAATACTAACTTTGACTATTAATTTATTAACATTAATTATTAAAAAATCAAGATGAGTTGATGAATTTTTTGTTATTGTTTATGTTGACCATGCCTTTGGGAAATTGTTTCTACCCTTAATTCCCAATTAACAACCATTTGATGGCGAAAAATTTGATTTAATGCAGCCTAAATCTTTGGCTTTAAACTTTTGAACATGACTGTATAAAAGAAAAGAAAAGAGACAAAAAAGTTATCACAATGATAAAATTGATTGCATTCATGTTTCAATATAACCGTTTATCAGAAGAATAACATTGAAACATTGAAATACAGATATCATTGTCATCTCATATTCTCGGGGAATTCATTATTAACCAATCGAAATGCTGGAATAAAACATTCTCAACTGACTTATTCAACAACAAAATTATCAATCATACTATCAATAACGTTATTATACTACAATTTGACTTGGAATGTACTGGAGTATGTATAACTTGTAACATTTATCATATCTTTGTTAATGACATATATTCATAGTTACTTCTATCATCAAATAAATGCTATTTTCTCTGTTACATTCGATTGTATTATTCAATGTCTTTATTCAAGAATTTTTTCTTCACAACTTTTGCCAATTTATCATAAACTAATGATGGCATGAATCAAAGTTTCCATCAATTTTATAGAAATAAGGTGAAATATAATAGAAATAAAAGAATTTATTTTCATTTATTCTTGCTTTTCATTAGTTGCATGACAATCTATGATGAAATCGTGAACATCAGATCAACCGTTGATTTCATTCCACTGCAAGTGAGCAGTGAATGAACTGCAGTGAATAATGAAAAGTTATTGCATAGTTAACTGTAAAACGCATTTCATAGCCTCAAATCATAATGAAAAAGTGAAACAAAGATTCAGGAAAAAAGCAAACTCGGAAGCCGGAAAATGCCTGGAAAATGCTATTTCCGATACAAGAAAAAGTAAGGAAATTATGAAGAGAAAAATTGTTCAAGAAACTGAAAGAATACTTTTCAATGACTTTTTCTTTGTTTTTTGTTTTTTGTAGCATTTTGTATTTATAATGTTTCAAGATCGTTCATTCTGATTTATCAACAGGAAGATGAGAGTAAAATAGGGAATTAACTATTATTGTTGAAAAAAGGAAACATTTATAATTTCCATCTATAACCATGATAAAACTCATTGTAAAATGTATTTTTGTGTTTTTATGCAACAATATGAAAAGGTTTGGGAACTTTTTTCACTTCTTGAACAGAAAAACTATAATAGAAAAAACAAAGCAATACTTGACTTTTGATGAGTTGAAATAGAGTTATAAATTATATTGCAATTGTTATTCATTAATAAACATGGTACTAGACAAAAAACATCTAAGCTAATTAGTCATGTTTACAAAATAATCAAAAACATTCAATTAGATTAACAAGAACTTCAAGTCAACTTCTAGTCTAATGGAATTCAAAATTATATGAACAAAAAGGAGTATTCTGCATGTTTCAGAAATTTTTCATTCTGTTCATCGATGATAATTAACACGAATGCTTTTTCGTGGAGCAAGAGACTGAAAACATCACTAATGAGTTGAAATGAGAAAATCATAAATTTGGAGCAATTCCTCAGAAAGTCATAGTACAGTTTAAAGAATCAGAATGAAGTGAACTTATTCATCCCGAAATTCAAGTTTAAATATAAACCATTGGAAGATTGATGGCGCTGATGATAATATTAATGCTTATATTATAATATATAGTAGTATATTATTAACTTTTTAACCAACTTGTCAAAAGTAGAATCAGATATCTTTCATGCAACTTTTTTGGTGCATTTTATTTTCAACCTTTTCATCATAAAGATGATAGGTTAAAGAACGAATAGAATCAATGATAAGCTGATTGAAATCGAGAAAATTATTGTGTAGGTTAAAAGTGAATAAAAATGTATTATTGAAATAAATTGCAAGACTTTTTTTGTCACAGAACAACATTTTATTTAAGAACTTTTAACTTTCCTTCAACTGTAATTTGATTCAATTTCAAATCTGATCAGATAACATAGCAAGTAGTTCAGAAGCATCTCAAGTTACTCAGAATATCAAAGTAAAATTGCAACAATAATACTGTAACAGTATCAATCAATAAGCTGGGTGGCTAATGATAATAACAAATGGTGCAGTTGGAATGTTAAGATC